GCCCAGTGTCATCAGGATGGTGTCACCAGGGCCCAGTGTCACCATGCTGGGCCAGCCTGGGGTCTGATATCCCCCCTCCAGACTCTTGAGGGTACCTCCCCTGGGCCAGGCCCCTCAGGGGTGCCATGTCCCCACCCTGGCCCCTTGGGGACGTGCCACATCCCTGCCAGCAGGGCCCTCACCGGGCCGCACTGGGGGCCTGTCCTGGGGAGGAGCAGCGCCCCCAGCCCTGCCCACGCCTGTGCTGGGGGTGGTGGCAGCCTTGGGGCTCCCCTGTCCCCATCCCTGTCCGTGCTGGGGGGGTGGTGGCAGTCTGGGAGCGCCGTGTCCCTGTCCCTGACGTGGCCCCTTGTGCAGGAGGAGCTGAGCAGCACCAGCGTGGAGCACCTGATCATCAACCCCAACGCGGCCTACGAGAAGTTCCGGGACAAGCGCCTGGGCACCGAGGGTGTGGGTGAGCTGGGGGGCCTGGGGGGCTGGGCATGGGTCAGGGGGGCCTGGGCACGAGCCAGGGGGCAGGGGGCACCGAGCCAGGGGGGCAGGGGGCACTGAGCCAGGGGGCAGGGGGCACTGAGCCCCCTGGTCACACCCGGCTCTGCCTCCTGCAGATTTCTCTGACCGCATCGGCCGCACGCGGACAACGGGCTATGAGGCTGGGGAGTACGAGATGGTGAGTGGGCAAGGGGCACCCCCTCCTCACACAGTGCTGGGACACCCCTGGGTGCCACAGGGCCCCTGGGAGCCCCGGGGTCACCTGCTGCAGCCGCCAGGAGCTGTGTGCCAGCTCCAGCAGTGCCCTGCTGGTCTCTGCCCAGTCCATCCCAGTGTGCCACGCTGGGAGCCCCTGTCCCCAGCACAGACCCCTGAGGGTGCTCAGGACAGCGCTGTAACCAAGTCCCGGTGGAGCTGGGGGTCCCAGGGTGGATCTGTGGGGGACCCGGGGGTCTCAGGGTAATCCTGGCTGGCTCATGTTCAGCTGGGTGTCCCCCAGGACCCCCCGGCCTCTCCTGGGTGCCCCCATGTCCTGGTGCTGGGGCCTGTATCCCCCCAGCAGGGCCCTGCCTGTCCCCTCACTGACTGCAGTTCTGTCACCCCAATTCCCCGGGCTGTCCCAGTTCCTCTGCTCCCTCAGGACCCTCAGGGTGGGCTGCAGTCCCTGGCACCAGGGCCAAAGGGGAGAAGGTGGCTCTGGTCACCTGGCCCCTCCTTGGCCTGCAGGGAGGGGGTGACAGCTGTGTCCCCTGGGCTGGTCACTGTCCGGCCAGGCCATCACCCCCACACCAGCCCAGCTCAGGTTTGCTCTGGGCACAGCTGGGTTTGGGCAAAGAGCAGGGAACCCCCACATTGCACGGGGGGCACAGCAGCACCCAGAACCACCCCACAGCTGTAGAGCTCTGGGAGGAGGAGGAGGAAGAGGAGGAGGAGGAGCTCTAAGATGGGAAATCCATGGGGGTGGTGATGAGGAACTTCATGTGGGTGAGGATGAGGAGTTCCATGGGGGTGAAGATGAGCTTCATGGGGATGAAGATGGGGAGCTCTGAGTGTGAAGATGAGGAGCTCCGTGAGGATGAAGATGAGCTCCGGTGCATCCCCTCTCCCTGTGGGTTCAGGACCCTCCTGGGCTGCTCCTGCCCTGCCCCACTGACCCCACCAGGTTCCCTTTAGGTGCCACCTGAGGCTGCTCTGACCTGTCCCTGCAGGCCTCACCTGCTCCTTCTGCTTGGTGCCAGGTGCTGCCAGCACCTGTGAGCCCCCTGAGCCCTCTGAGACCCCTGGATTCTGTGAGATCCCTGACCCCCCCATGAGATCCCTGACCCCTGTGAGACCCCTGAACCTCCATGACCCTTCCACCATGCCATGAGCTCCCCTGACCCTGTGTGAGCCCCCCCTGAGCCCCCTGAGCCATTTCTCCCCCAGCTGGGTGAGGGTCTTGGTGCCAAGGAGACGCCGCAGCAGCGATTCCAGCGGTTGCAGCACGAGGTGCAGGAGCTGCTCCGGGACGTGGAGCAGATCCAGGTGAGCTCCCACCTGTCCTGGGGAATGGTTTGGGGGTGACACAGCCCCTGTGTGTGCAGGTGAGCCCCCATCTGCCCCAGGTGAGCCCCCCCATCCCAGGGTGTGTCCCAGGGGTGACGTGTCCCCGGTGTGTCCCCCAGAGCTCGGTGAAGGAGTCGGGGGCAGAGGAGGAGCTGACGCCCATGGCCCTGGCCAGGCAGGTGGAGGTGCTGAAGCAGCAGCTGCTCAGCTCCCACCTGGAGAAGGTTCTGGGCCCCGGTGCCGCCGTCGACTTCGCTGACCCCGAGGGTGCCCTGGCCAAGTGAGTGGGGGACAGGACCCCGGGGGGCACAGCAGCGTCCCCATGGGATGGCACAGCTTGTCCCCTGCCGCGCTGTCCCTGTGCCCACGCTGTCCCCTCCGGGCTGTCCCCAGGCGGCTGCTGCAGCAGCTGGAGGTGGCCAAGTGCAGCAAGGCCGCCCCGGGGAAGGGCCCCGCGCGGGCCGCACCCACTGCCGGCGACGCTGTCACCTTCGAGCTCTACTGGAGGCCCGAGCAGGACCAGTTTGCCCAGTCTGCCAAGGTGAGGGGGCTGCTGGAACCACAGGGGGGCACCACACCTGGCACCCGGCCCTGCACCGCGGCCTCAGCACCTGACCCCAAACCCCGCAGGTGTCGGAGCTGGAGAAGCGCCTGGCACAGCTGGAGGCGGCCATGAGGTGTGAGCCCGACAGCCAGGTGAGTGCCCAGGTGTGAGCCTGACAGCCAGGGCAGGGCCCAGGTGAGGGCCCAGGTGAGGGGGCTGCCCACTCTCCCTTCCTCCTGCCACTTTCCTACCCCCCCCCCTCACCTGGCCCTACTGACACCGTTTCCCCCGCAGAACCCGCTGCTGGTGGGAGTGAAGGGCTCCAGTCTCATGGTGAGTTGGGCAAGAGGGGTTTGGGGGAGCCCCTGTCCCCTCCTTGCCCTCAGCACTTTGGGGGGGCTGCTGTACCCCCCTCACCTGCCCCCCCTCCCCAGGACACGGTGCAGGTGCTGCAGGCCAAGGTGAACGTTCTGGATGTGGCTGTGCTGGACCAGGTGGAGGCTCGGCTGCAGGTGAGGGGAGCTGGGGGGCACTGCTGGGGTTAAACTGGGAGACATTGCTGGGTTTGGGGCCCACTGCTGGATTTGGGGTTCCTGTCTCCCCCACCCCAGAGCGTCCTGGGCAAGGTGAACGAGATCGCCAAGCACAAGGCCACGGTGCAGGACGCCGACACCCAGAGCAAGGTATGGGCTGGGGGGCCCAGAGGCCGGGGGGATGATCCAGAAAGGGCCCCCCAGGCTGTGCTGACCCCCCCAGGCTGTGCTGGCCCCCCCAGGCTGTGCTGGCCCCCCACCCCACGTGTGCCCCCCAGATCCACCAGCTGTACGAGACGCTGCAGAGCTGGGACGCCGTGGCCAGCGCCCTGCCCGACGTGGTGCAGCGCTTGGTGACCCTGAGGGACCTGCACGAGCAAGGTGGGGGCCGGGGGGCTGGGGGGCACCGGGTGGGGGTCTCTGCCTGCCCTCCCCAGCACTCAGGTGTGTGCCCCCACAGCCACCCAGTTCGGGCAGGTGCTGGTGCACCTGGACACCACACAGCAGGAGATCGCGGGGGCTCTCAAGGACAACGCGGTGCTGCTGGCTGAGGTGGGACCCCTGGCCCCCCATTGCCCCCATCCCCAGTGACCCCATCACCCATCCCCACATCACCCATCCCCCCCTGCCCCATCCCCACTGACCCCATCACGCCATCCCCACTGCCCCCATCACCCGATCTCCAGTGACCCGCATCACCCATCCCCCCCTGCCCCATCCCCACTGCCCCCATCACCCGATCTCCAGTGACCGCATCACCCATCCCCCCCTGCCCCATCCCCACTGATCCCCATCCCCCCCTGCCCCATCCCCCTCACCCCCATGCCCCCCTGCCCCCCATCACCCCATCCCCACTTAGCCCCATTTCCCATCCCCCCCGCCCCCATCCCCCCTCACCCCTGCCCCCCCAGGTGCAGAAGACCATGAAGGACAACCTGGCCATCGTCGAGGACAACTTTGCCGACATCGACGCCCGCATCAAGCGGCTGCAGAAGTGACCGGACCCCGGGACCCCCCTTGAGGACACCCCCGTGCCCCCCCAGGACCCCCTGGGCCCTGTGCCCCCCCCGCAGGTCCCAGCTGCTGCTTGTAAATACCCTGGCTCCGACCCCCATCTTCTGTCCCCTCAGTCCCCACGGGGGTCTCTGTCCCCCCTGCTCCCCCGCCGTGGGTCTCTGGTCCCCCTGTACCCCAATAAACAGCTCAGCTCCCAGCGTGTGTGTCGGTGTCTCTGGGCGGGCAGGAGCAGGGCCTCCCCAAACTGGGGGTGGCAGTGCTGGGACTGGGGGGACACGGGGAGGGGGGGTGGGAAAGCTGGGACTGGGGGGACACGGGGGGAGCCTGTGGGACCCCACAGGGATGGGGGGCTGGGGGCAGCCGGACCCCGCAGACAGGGGAGGGGTCCCGGGTATGTCCCCAGCCCTGCAGCCGCCACCCACAGCCAGAGCACGCCCATGGCGCCAGTTCTGCCCCCACAGGTGCCCCCAGGACCCCTCCGGTGCCGTCCCCTCGCCCCAGTGCCCCCCACGTGCAATGGAGGGGAGGGGATGGGGGGGCTGAGACCCTCCCGTTAATCCCGGGCGGGGAGAACGAGACCGGGTGGCACCGAGGCCCCGCCCACTCCCCGTATTCCCCGCCCATTTCCGGACAAGCCCCGCCCCTCGCCCCGTGCCTGCCGGGGGGCGTGGCCCATTTCCCGCCATTGCATCATCCCCGCGTGACCCCCCGCGCGCCCCTCCCTCGCGCTGGGCGGTGCCGTTTGTCCCGCCCCTGCCGCACTTCCATTGGTTCGCGCTCTCCTGCCAGTCACGGTTCCCACGCGCTTATTGGCGGCTACCGGCGCGAGCGTTGCGTCATGGTGTACATAAATCGGCGCGGCGCGGGGGGCGGGGCGCAGCGCGGGACGATGCGGACGAGGATGCACCGGGGGCAGCGAGCGGAGCAGGGCCGGGGGGAGCCGGGACCACCCAGGAAGGTGCAGAGGGGGGCGCGGGGGGCGCTGGCCGAGGGTTCCCGCTCGGTGCCGGGACGGGAACCGGAGCGCCCGGAGCCGTCGCCGCGGCACGGGGGCCCCGAGCCCCGCACTCGGGGGTCACCGGTCCTAAGAGCACCCCCTCCTCCTTCCCCAGGCATCGAGGAGAAAGTGCATCCTCACTGATCACCACACCTGAGAGCAGGTAAGGGGCCACCCCCGCCATGCCCTCCCCCTTTGTGCACCGGGGGTCCCGCCCGGGTCACCCCTCACTCCGCTCCCGTCCCTCCCGCAGCCCGCGCCGGGCCCGAGGTGACGATGGCGGCCGAGGGGCTGTGGGGGCCGGGCGGCCCCCCCGGCTGGGAGCTGGACGGGTGGTACCAGGACCTGCAGGAGGTGCTGGCGGCGGAGCCCCCCGGGGCCGCCCCCGCCTGGGGCGCCGAGCAGGTGAGCGCGGGGCCGGCAGCGCCCCCGGGGCGGCAGCGCGGGGCGCGGTTCCCCCTCCTTCCATCACCGGCCCCGGTTCCGCTGTGTCCGCAGGGGGAGCCGGGCCCGGGCGGCTGCGGGCTGGACCTGGCTCTGGCCGAGGAGCTGCTGCAGCTGCTGGGGCCGGAGGGAGCGGCTCCGGAGGAACCCCCGGCCGCGGCCCCCGGCGGGAGCGGCCCGGTCCGGCCCGGCCCCGCCGAGGAGGCGGAGGAGGAAGAGGAGGAGAAGGCGCGGGGGTCGCGGAGGAAGCGGCGCGGCGGCGCCGGGGCCCCGCGGCAGCGGGACGGGGAGCGGCGGGTGCGGGAGCTGACGGCGCACAACGAGCGGCTCCGCGCCGAGATCCAGCGGCTCAGCGCCGAGGTGCAGCGCACCCGGGCCGCGCTCATCGACCGCATCGTCAACCTGCGCCAGCTGTAGCGGCTGTCCCGGGACAGGACCGGGCACAGCGACAGGGGGACAAGGACTCTGCTGCCCCACGGACTGCGGGGCAGCGCCACGGACAGATGGACATTATGGACAGACAAGTGGATGCAGCTGCTCCACGCCGTTGTACAGATCTCGTTGTTTATTACACGTATCCAACCACACCCAGCACGGCCCAGTTTGGTTACTGGAGGCGCTGGGGCCGCTCCTCGGGATGTCCCAGTTTGGGACTGGGGCTACTTCTTCCGCTTGCCCTTGGGCACCTCGGGGCTGCGGCCTTCGGCCAGCGCCAGCTGCCGCTTCAGCTCCAGCAGTTTGGCCACCTGGGCGTCCACCTGGGCCTTCTCCACCTGGGCAGCCTTCAGCTGCCTCACCAGGTTGCCCTGGACAGGTGGGAGGAAGGATTTGAGGGTGTGATGAGGCTTTGGGGTTTAAAGGCATGACAGTGTGTGCCCCATGCCCTGTCCCCCCTCACCTGCTGGGCCACCTGCTCTGTCAGCTCCTGGATCAGTTTGGGGTCACCTGGAGCCGCGGCGGTGTTGGGAGCTGGAGGGGGGGCTGAGGCCGGGGGGGGCTCTTTGGCCTGGAAAGGAAGAGATGGGGAGAAGCCCCCTCACTGATATTCCAGGCAGGTGCAGCTCACCTGGGGCAGCACCAGGAGATACCTGGGGCTCTACAGCAGCACCTTTGCACTGGGAATGGGGAGGGATGGGGCTGCAGGTGCCCAAAGTGAAGTGAGGGAGCTTTGGGGGGCACCTGAGCCCCCACTCACCTGCCCTCCCCCGAAGCGTTGCCGCAGGGCTTCCACCTGCTCAGGCTCCAGCTTCTGGAACAGGGGGCTCACCTGGCCACAGCAGGGACAGAGGGGTCACACCTGGGGGGCAGCACCTGCGGCTCCCACCCAGGCAGGGCCTGCCCTGCCCTCCCGGGGGGCACAGGCCGTGCCGTACCGTGCCCACGCGGTGCCCGGCGGGCAGGGTGCAGGTGAGGCCGGGCCCGAGCCCGCAGCGCTCGGGGGGGATGCGGAGCTGGGCCTGGATGGCGGCGCTGACCCCGGGCACGAAGGGCTGGAGCAGCGCGGCCAGAGCGGCCGCCAGGTTCACTGCCACGCCTGTCACCGTCCCTGCGCGCTGCCTGCGGGGGGGACAGCTCGGTGACACCTCTGTGACCCTCCCTGCTCAGTGACCCCCGTGTCCTGCCTAGGGTGGGGACAGCTTCGTGACCCCCCTGTGACCCTCCCAGATCAGTGACCCCCGGGCCGTGTGCCTGTGCACTGCCTGGGGGGACAACACCTCAGTGCCCATTGTGCCGCTGTGTCCCACCCTTGTCCCCCTCCCTTGTCACTGCCCGTGGGAGGGGCCATCAGGGACCTTCCAGTGTCCCCCCAGCTCCTGGCTTCACTCCATGCCTGCCCTGTGCCCCCCACCAGTGCCAGCCCCACCCTGACAAGAGCCAGGAGTGGGGACCCCTCCATGGCACCTCCAGTCACCCCCCACCCCCTCAGATCATGGCTGTGCCCCCCTCCAGTTCCCCCAGTCCCCAGCTGTGCCCCCTTCCTGTCCCCAGGTGCTCCATCCATCCATCCCTGTCCCTCTCATGTCCCCCTCCAGTGCCCCCAATGCCCCCCTGTGCCCCCTCCCTGTCCCCAGGTGTCCCCTCCCTCCCTACCTGTCCCTCTCGTCGCCCTTGATGCGTTTCCAGGGCTCGTTCACCTGGATGTATTGGTTGCCATGGCGGGAGATGCCGAGCACACACCTGAGAGCATCCCGGAGCCTGGGGGGGCACAGGTGGGGCTGAGCACCTGCAGGGCAGCCCCTGCACCCGCCCCCCCTGGGTTTGGGACCCCCAGCACCCACCGGACCCTCTCCATGAGCTGGTGGTACTGGCGCATCTCCAGCGTCACCCGCGCCAGCAGCCGCTGGTCCTCGGCCGTGAGCGCCATGGCGGGCACAGCGCCCCCGAAGAACTTGCACACGAACATGCCGGCCCTGCACGGGGGGACAGGTGGGGACAGGTGTGAGAACAACCAGGGACAGGTGGGGACAGCCCTGGGACAGGTGTGAGCACAGCTCAGGGACAGGTATGAGCACAGCCCTGGGATAGGTGGGGACAGGTGTGAGAACAATCAGGGACAGGTGTGAGCACAGCCCAGGGACAGCCTGGGGACAGGTGTGAGCACAGCCTGGGGACAGGTGTGAGCACAGCCAGGGACAGTCTGGGACAGGTGTGAGCACACGTGTGAGCAGAGCCCAGGGACAGTCTGGGACAGGTGTGAGCAGAGCTGTGCCCAGCCCTCTCCCCAGCAGTGCCTCACCTGTTGATGAAGTTGCCCAGGTTGTTGAGGAGCTCGGAGTTGTTCTTGAGCATGAGGTCGGCCCAGCAGAAGGCGCTGTCCTGGCCCTCGGGCCGCAGGTACAGCAGGTAGAAGCGCCACACGTCGGCCGGGATCCCGGTGTCCTTGGCCATGTCCCCAAACACGCCCACGCCGCGGCTCTTGGAGAACTTCCCGTCCTCGTAGTTCAGGTACTCTGGGACAGGTGAGCACCCACCTGGGGGCTGCGCCCTCCCAGGCAGGAAACGGCCCCAGGAACAGCAGGGGGAGCGGGGAACACCCACACCTGGGGACCCCTCACACCTGGGGATCCCCACACCTGGGGTTCCACAATACCTGGGGACTCCTCACACCTGGAGACCCATCCAGCTGAGGATCTCCAACACCTGGGGACCCCTCACACCTGGGGATCTCCAACACCTGGGCACCCCCAACACATGAGGACCCACCTCAGCTGGGTCTCCTCAACACCTGTGTCTCCCCTGGGGATCCCCAACACCTGGCGACTCCTCACACCAGGGACTCCCCTACAGCTGGGGCTCCCCACACCTGTGGGTCCCCACACCTGTGGCTCTCTGGCTCCCCACTCTTGGGACTCCCTAACACCTGGGGACCTTCCCCACCCCTGTGTCCCCCCCGGCCGTACCTGTGGCAATCAGGTGATTCACCAAGGTGTAGTTGTCATCGGCGCCCAGCAGCGAGCAGGGGAACACCACGCTGTGGAAGGGGACGTTGTCCTTGGCCATGAAGTTGTAGAGCTCCACCTGGCAGGTAACGGGGGCAGGTGGGGATGTCAGCCAGGTGTCCTGCTCCGTCCCCACCTGCACCATCACCTGGCTGTCCCACCTGCTGGGGGTTCTTCCACCAGCGCTCCCAGTGCTCGGTGTAGTTGGCGGTGATGGACAGGTACCCGATGGGGGCGTCGAACCACACGTAGAACACCTGGGGAGGGTGGGACTGACCTGAGCAGGTGAGCCCGGCAGGGAGGGTGGGACTGACCTGAGCAGGTGAGCCCGGCAGGGAGGGCAGGACCGACCTGAGCAGGTGAGCCCGGCGGGGAGGGCCCAGCAGGGGCACCTGGGGGCCGGGGGGCACTCACCTTGTCCCGGAAGCCGTCGAGGGGCACGGGGGTGCCCCAGGTGAGGTCGCGGGTGATGCAGCGCGGTTTGAGCCCGTCGCGCAGCCAGGTGCGCGTGATGTGCCGCGCGTTGGGCGTCCACTCACCTGCGGCCCAGGTGCGCTCCAGCCACGCCTCCAGCCGCCCCTCCAGCTGTGGGACACACGGGTGGGACACCTGGGCACCCTGGGGGGACCTGTCCCCTCCTCAGTGCCCACCCCAGGGTGCTGCTCACCTTGGGCAGGTCCAGGAACAGGTGCTGGGTGGGCATCACCACCGGGGTCCCACGGCACAGCTTGCACTGCGGGTTCTGCAGGAAAACGGGGGGCCCCAAGGTGGGGGGGGTCCCCATAGGTGAAATGGGGGGTCCTCATGGGTGGGGTAAGGGGCCAAAGCAGGAGGGGAAGGCTCAGAGTGAGTTAAGGATGTCCACAAAGGTGGGGGGAGTGGGGGTCCCCACAGGTGGGGCAAGGGGCATTGCCAAAAGTGGGAGGGGAAGGCTCAGGGTGAGTTAGGGAGGTCCTGAAAGGTGAGGGGGTCCCCACAGGTGGAGTTGGGGGGTCTCCAGAGGTGAAGGGGGGGGTCCCCACAGGTGGGGTAAGGGACCAAAGAAGGAGGTGAGGACTCAGGGTGAGTTAAGGATGTCCACAAAGATGAGGTAGAGTGGGGGTCCCCAAAGGTGAAGTGGGGGTCCCCAAAAGTGGAGCTGGAGGCTTCCCACAGGTGGGGCAAAGGACGTTTCCAAAAATGGGAGGGGAAGGCTCAGGGTGAGTTAGGGAGGTGCATACAGGTGAGGGGATCCCCACAGGTGGACTGGGGGGTCCCCAAAGGTCACAGGATCCCCACAGGTGGTGCGGGGGTCCCACAGGTGGCACAGGGGGTCCCACAGGTGGGTGTGGGGGGTCCCCAAAGGTCACAGGATCCCCACAGGTGGCACAGGGGGTCCCACAGGTGGCACAGGGGGTCCCAGGTGTGGCCCACCTGCAGCTCCACGGCATTGATGAGCTTCCCGCAGCGGTCGCACTGGTCGCCCCGGGCCTCGCCGTAGCCGCAGGAGGGGCAGGTGCCCTCCACGAAGCGATCGGCCAGGTAGCGCCCGCAGCGCTCGCACCTGAGCTGCTCCAGCGTGTCCTGCAGCAGGAACCCCCGCGCCAGCAGCCGCTGGAAAATGTCCTGGGCGATGCTGCGGGAGGGAGAGAATGTTGGCACAGGTACCCCGGGGCAGGTGGGCTCAGCTGGTCTGGGGGCTCAGTTGGTCCCCAGGGGCTCACCTGGTTAAAATGGCTCACTTGGCCTGCAGGGCCTCACCTGGTCTGGGGGCTCACCTGGTCTAGGGGCTCACCTTGTCAAAATGGCTCATGTGGCCTGCAGGGACTCACCTGGTCTAGGAGCTCACCTGGTCTAGGAGCTCACCTGGCCCTCAGGCACTCACCTGGTGTGCTGGGGGTCACCTGGTCTGGGGCCTCACCTGCCCCTCAGGCTCTCACCTGGTCTAGGAGCTCACCTGGCCCTTAGGGGCTCACCTGGTCCCCAGGCTCTCACCTGGCCTAGGCTCTCACCTGC